AGTGGTGAGTAAAACTCAATTCTAGCATCACGCAAATTTACAATTTTTAAATATAGTAGGACCTGTTATTAAGAATATTTTGTTGCTGGAAAAGTTGGTTAAATTGATCGATCAAATAAATAAAAGTATAAAAATAACGTTGCTTGTCTACCTTTATTTTAAATTTACCAGTGTAGCAGGTGCCGCTTCATTCGTTTGAATTGCAATTTTTGTTTACCTGGTAGCGGTATTGGTTTATAATGTAAGCGATTTTTCAATTCAAAATTACTTCTGAACTTATTTATTTTAACTAATTCTCTTGAGCTTGAGAATTTTATTATTTACACAGATTTCCTTATACTAATAGCAGTTTACACTAGCATTGCTAATACTATTACTATTATTATTATTACACTATTTACAGTAACCCTATACAAACACAGTTGGTGCTTGTAAGTTTTATATTGACGATATGACTTTGCATTGGCCGTGCAATGTAATTTACATTATTGATACAAAGGTATACCTTAGCTTTTTAACTTAATAGTTCACCTTATGAAACCAGTTTTAGTTTCTATGAAAGTTTCTTGTAAAACTAAAAATACAATTAACCTAGATAGTAAGATAGTGCATCACCGCCTTTCATTTACTTTGTTACTTAGCATTGGCATAAAAAATACCCGTATATTTAAAAATATCAATATTTTAATTCTCTATGCTTATGTGAAAGGCTCAGACATGTTCTTTTGATAAAAGTATGCTCTAAAATGATATTGCTCTGAAATTAAATATTCCAGTGTTAAATGTCATTATCACTGGCATTACCAGGATAACTTCGTTACATTTAAACAAGTTTTACAGATTTCAGGATTAGCTAGTTGTAATTAACAGCTGGATGCTATCAAAAGCATATTTTTTTCACAAGTCTCCCATATCCTTGTCTCTTTCTACAATGCAAACATTGTTATACAGTTAAGTTTTTTAAAGTTATTTCTAAACCAAGGGCATGACTTTTAATTTTTGGTATTTGAATTTTTTGTCAGTGTTCTAAACCACTCATTAAACTGACCAGAATCTCTCTGAATCAAAACATTTTTCACATAACTGTTGGAAGTCAATATCATTTACAGCTTTAAAAAAATGCAGCCAATGATACTATTCAGATCATTTATGTAAATTTTTGGAAACAAGCCAGTCAAGAACTATATCTAATCATCCATTCAAAACTAACCTATTTATTATCATCTGAAATTTCTAAGTTGCTGCTTTATCTTATCAACAGTATCATAAACAGTAGAATGTTAAGCACCTATTGATTCTGCAATAAAAAAGTTATACATGCAATGTAAAAACTAATCAGTATATGCTAGCATTATTAATGCTTGTTAAGTTTTAGAGCAATGGTAACATATCTGATAAAAGCTTTATAATACCTACTTCTAGAAACTAAAGAGTATAAAAATTAAGTATAAAAATCAAATTTTATTACACATTTCTTTTTTATTTAAAAAAATTAACAAACCAAGCACCTTTACAATATTTAATTATGTTTTCTCATCACACACAACTCAATTACAGGTTGCATTAGTCAAAATAGCAAGGACCAAGGGGTGCCACAAGAAATGCCTGACCACTCATTGTCGATTGCCATTTTTGTGACAGTTCTTTTGCATGGAATTTAACATCTGATGGTGAAAACTGCTAATGATGTATGACTAAGTTTAGGCTTAGAAAAATATTTTTTAATTTGTTTATCCCCTGGAACAAATGAATTTTGAAAAAGGCTTGTTCCTTTTATAATTTTATTTTTCCTACATAAGTAGACAGATATGGAGTTATTTTTACAAACTAATTTACTCTAGAATTTGTATAAACTGAATATATTTTACATTCATTTTATTTTTACTTGTGAATGAAAGTGTACACAAAACCTGATTTTTTTTTTATTTAGTACTGGTCAAGAAGTTAGATTTTATACATCCAACCAGTTTGAGATTGTTCTATATTCATTAACATATTTGTATTTGTGATTTTCAAAATTATGATTACATTGAATGTCATGAAAATAACTAAATAATTGAAATTATGGTTTCTGATTGTTAGTATTTTCGAATTTATTCCAACTATCCAAGTTATAGAAATATTGCCACCAAACTTGCTTATCTTGTCTTTGTTATGGCATAACTACTAAAGCTAACTGCCATCATCACTAGTTTTAAACTACTGACTAGAAGGAAAGCAATTGTGTGACAACATCTTTTTCCATTTTTTTTCTTCCTGAACTGCTGACTAAAATGAAGGCAACTGTCTGGCAGTATCTGCTACACATTTTTTAAAATTTTGTTTTTGAAATGCTGATTATAGGAAAGGCAACACAAACCACAATCTTTTTTTTTCTTTTCTTTTCTGCCTACAAAATGGAAGGCAATTGGGTGGCAGCAGCCACCATCAATGTTTTTTCTTCTTTCTTTTTGAACTGCTGTTGTTAGTTTATATTAAATGATTTGAGGACTACTGTATTAATTGATTATACAAATGCAATCAATTAATGGGCCATTAATTAATCAGTTAGTAAATACCACTAATTGCTTGGCTCTACTACACTGAAGTAATTATGTAACCTGACTTACAAACACACAAATCTGATATGATCAATAATAACCTACTTTCATATGTCATTGTGAAACATAATAGAAGCTAGTATGGTTAAAAGTGCAAGTATCATTACATAAGTTATAAGAGAAAAGGAATATTTTTGTAGCTTTCTGAAGAAAATAACAAAAAATTCCCCATCAGCAACAACAACAACAAAAAAAACCATGAAAAACAATAAAAAGTTCCATGTCTAACTTCAGAATTATTTTGAAAGTCACTGTATTCAATTATCAGATTTAGCTTTTTTGGACCACCCCTTGAAAACTTGTACATTTTGAAACTTTTTTTATGAATAATTGAGAAGTTTTTCATTTCATTTCATTTGAACTAAGTTTCTCCTCTTTACACCCAACATTTTAAATCCACTTGCCCATAGCCAGTTTTAACAATCAAGGATGAGAGACCAAGTAATTTTAACAGTATTGGCAATTTCCATCAATATGAAATAAGTAGATAGAAAAAAAAAAGATTTTTCCATATATTGGCTTTATTTTGTTTCTGATAGATTTAAGCTTAAAATTCAAGAAAATTATGCCTAATTGTAGATTTATACTGATCAATTATTTCAGTATCTCAGCACATCACCTTGCAATTGGGCCTCAAAAGTATGGTAGAGGTCTTTTAATTCTAGGAGTTAAGGCTCTCAAAGCTCAAATAATCAATTTTTTATTTCTACCTCTGATATAGTCAATGTAAAATTCTTGAATTCGTTATAATCACAGAATATTTAAGGATATCTGAAAGTAGGATTTTAATATAAGTAGTTTTAGACTGGGAAATCAGTTTTATATTAACTTAAAGGTGGATTCCATATTGCATCTACTTGTGTGTGATTTAGTTAGTCAGAAGTTAGGTAGTGTGTTTGTTATTGATTAATTAGTGAGGAAATTCTGAAAGTAAGTTTATAAGTTAGTTGGCATACATTGATTTCAAAGTTCCTGTTAAAAATTGTTTGTAAAGTTATGTCTATAAAGTGAACGTGGCCTCTAACAAACATTATGAAAGAAAGAAATTAACTCCTTCAAGACGGGTCACAGGTGAAAAGCCATGCCATCTCATTTGTTGACTCACATTCAAAATTTTATTTAACTACTATTTCATGAATTTATTCAATAACTTTAGTATCCAACTGTAGATTATAATTCATTATATATTACACTCAATTTGTTAATTTAAATATAAATATAAAAAAAACACAGATAAACATCGATTTTTGTGTGTCATGTGGTATGTTGAATGCAAACCAGGTTCAAATTAGATGTTTGTGATATCAAAATACTAAGTATAGTTTTGTATGAATTATAAACTCAAATTACAGATATTGACAAGCTAGAATATAAAACAAGAAGGTATTTTCTATTTGCCAAGATATTGCTCACATAATAAATCAGACACAGTGGCTACCCACTCACCTCCTTCCATTTTTTGGAAATATTCCTTTATATACACTTCTATGCATGACATGAATAACCAATCGGAAGGTCAGAATGTCCCCCTAGTAGTTTTCTCATCCTTTCTATCATACCTAATACCATTTGTTTTGAACCAATATTTCAAGGAGGTAGGTTTTGTCTTTAGTCTGCTCAAAATTTAATATTTTTTTAGACCAAAATACAGCTTAGTTACTAAGTTTGATAAATTATGATAGAATTCTATGGTATTGATGTAGTAATTTATAATTTTTTTAGTTATTCAAGAGTATATATATATAAAACCTAAAAAAAATATTTTGTTTCATATCCTAAACGTTGAAACTTTTTCAAGGCTTAGCAACCTATGTCAAGAAGCAACTGAGTACAAAGGTTGTAAGTGGAAGAGATAATTGTTTGCTTTACTTTTTAATTTACTCTTCTATGTTTTAGATAAATAGCTTTAAGAACTTATTTCAAAATAGCAATAATAGATATACATATATAATGTATAATAATTGAAATGTGACTATACTTCACAAAATACTAGTTGACTTAAACACAGCCAAGACAAATTACTTTGTACAAACCAAAGGTCATCTTTATGTTATTTGATATGGTAACATGAGTGCATGTGAGCCGCGTCGTTGTAACTTCTGTATTGTTAGCTAGGCACAGGTGAAAGGTCAATGTAATAAAAATAATAAATATATGTAAATGTTATGAGATTTAAGCTATTTCATCTAAACATTTATGTTTTCATTATTTTTACCAAATACTCCAAAAGAACCAACCCAATGGTAGTACACATTACAATAATGTATATATGTACATGGTAACAAAAGATTTACCTTAGATGTTTTCCTTTTAGTTATTTATATGAAAAGTAAGTAAAATATATAAATTAATGGATTGTTTTTTTTTACTTAATCATGTATGTAATATTATTTATTAAAGAGATATGGCAGAAAATGAAGCAGCTAGTGTCAAGCAAAGTCAGACCGATAAAAAACTAGAAGAAGAGTCCAAAGAAACCACTTCTGAAATAGAAAAAGTTGTTCCTGTTACAGTCCATCCTGATCCAGGTTTGAAGCGATCACGGCCACGTAAAGGTACTATTACTACCTTTTAGATTCCCTGAACTAACTAACTCATAAAATGTTTAATTTTTTAGCTTATTTTATTACATAAAATATTGAGAACAAGGGTTAATTAGGTCTTTCAATACTGTCCTTTGAAACCCATCCTTAAGAAAAGTAAAAATTTAAACTGTCCCTGAAGAAATAATTCCTCTTCTAAAGTTATGTAAAGTGTTGGCATCCATATCTGCTTACAGCAACTCATTTACCATGTTAGAAAAATAAAATTGTTTAAACTGGAGCCTATCCAACTTTTAAAAGTCATAAACTTGGGTCTTCCTATCATTTTGACTTAAGAATGCTGCATAAATACATCAGAGGCCATTATTTTATCAGATCCTCGGATAACCTTGTGAACTATAACAAGATCATCTCATACCCTTCTTTAATCAGTTGAAGTTAAGAGATCTAAATGTATCCCTATAAGATAATCTTTCCATTCCGAGAATTATTCTAGTGTCTCTTCTCTGAACCCTTTCTCATAAGTCAATATCCTTTCCTAAACCAAAACTGTATACAGTATTCTAAGTGAGGTCTAACTAGTGAGTTGTATAGAGATAATTACATCTTTTAACTTGAAACAAGTATGTCTGTAAACACACCATAAAATTCCATTAGCTTTATTACTAGCTACACATGATTTGTTTTACTAGTCCACCACTGTGCTAAGATCATTTTCTGGGGTTCCTGTTCTTGCCTTTTTATTCTCAGGAATCCCTCTGTTTCCCATGATCTTTCTCCTTTTACCCTAACTAGCTGAGTTCAGCAACTCATTCCTATAGCTTATTCTGACTTGTCGATGGAAGATCAACAGATGTTTAAGGTGTTGTCACACCAGATATGTCTTTAGCTGCTCAGATCCACTGTTGTTTGGAGGAGATTGTACAAGCGGGAATGTGGACAACTCTCAATACTTTCGTTGCACTTTATTTGCACGATACCGCTGTATCCTCCTCGGTTTGGTATCGTCTTCTGCCTGTGGTGATTCTCCACGTGTCTGATCGTCTTTAACTGAGGTAAGTTGACATTTGGTTTCACCTTTGCATCCTTTTTTTTTTTTTTACCATTTCAGAAACAGTTGTTTTTCTGGATCCCACCTGGTGGTGGGTGTCGCCTGGTCAGGTATGCTGAATTGTTTTATACTAGCACTTACTCTACTTCTTTCTAATGCCCACTGTGGAGAGAGGGTGTTTCTGTAATACTACCGGATGCTTTTCCAGTGGTGTCTGTATATATATCCTGAGGACCGTCACTCATTGACTTCATGAGAAAAGCAGATAGTGATTTTTGTCCATCCCTACTGACCCGTGATTCTTACAATCTGGGTCTTTCTGCTTTTCAAGATAAGGAACTGCAGATACCAATTTCGCTGTCTCCTGTGAGTCGTTCCTCTGGACCTCCCAACACGTCATCCCCCTCATTCTTCTGGTGGAGCACGGGGTCCTTGCCACTTCCGGTTCCCTGTTGTTGGAGTGGTGGACTGTGGAGGTTTCCTCACAAGTGAGTTTTGTAGAATAACAAAATCTCATAGCCACATGTACTCACTTGATGAGAAGAGGGCTGTCATTGTTAAGCAGCACACATTATGGCACTGTGTCTATTATGCAAGGCACTTCCACTGGATGTTTTCTGCCCAGATGGACTGCATTTGACATTATCCGATGTATACCAAGGTGCTTCCCCCGGATGTTTTTGCCTGGGCAGACCACACTTGTTGATTTTGCAAACTTACGCAAGATGCTTCCATGTTGTTTTGGTCCTTGGATCGAACTTGGCATAATACATTATATCCCAAGACACTTGTCCTGGATGTTTTCTGCCCAAGCAGAACACACTTGGCTTATTCATATATGGTCCTCTAGCCCTAGCCAAGTATTCTCTTCATTTTTCCCCTACGTGTCTTATCTTCTTTACTGGGTGAAGAGCATACTTGTTTTAGAAGTAGTGCTATACCCCACAAGTGTAACTCGTATTTTACAAGAGGTAGTACTATTTTGGAAGTTAACATTTATGAACACTGAAAATGTATTTCTGATAGGTACTTACCTCTCCTCGGCCACTTCCCACACTTCCTCCCCACTGATTTGCCAGTATTTTCAGGTTTGTATGTCATTTCTCGAAAGTGAAGATTGTGCTGCAATAGTAGAGGGAGCTACCTGTGCTAGTATAGAGGGTGTAATGGGATTGGTGGAGGGTGATCACACGATCAGCACGTTGCTGCAATGATGCAACAAATATAGGGATATAAAAGACTAGTGCACTGTTCATAAGATTTACCAATGCCTAGAAGGCAAATGAAGGTCATAATAGCTATGGGTGAGGGAGATAAGTACCTATTGGAAATACATTTTCAGTGTTAGAAAATGTTAACTTCTATGTTATTTGAATTTCATTCTTTTAAGTATGATTATCTATTTTATTCTTAGCCCCAGAAATTCCAAGTTTGGAGCGACGAAATTGGCTTATTCATCTACATTACATACGAAAAGAAGTTGATGTATGTAAAGTTTTAATCAAGGAGCAGTTAGATGAAACTCAAGGAATGTGTGAATATGCTTTATACGTTCAAGGTGAGAAACAGTTTTGTGTTAGAAAAAGTAAGGCTTTTGTGAAGATTGAGAATTTATTATATCTCCTTTTGAAATTAAGAAAATAAAACTTCAATAATGTTACAATTTCAATTATAAACTATGTTTTGTTGCCAAATTTATTTGCATCATTGGTAATAAGTTTGTTTGAATAAATTTTTAATATAACCTTGTAAAAGTTCATGGCATGTGTACTTTGACCTTGCCGTAAAATGGTATTAAGCTTAAGAAAGTAGAATAGGGCATAAAAAATAGTTTTTCCACATTAACTTAATGAGGTTTAACTTTAAGCTTACAGTGTCTGTATACAAATTGTAGTTAAAGTTAACTATATTGCATTTAACTAATACATTCTAAGTATGAATTTGAATAAAAGTATGAAAACTTGTAAAATTTTTCTATGACCAAATCAAGTTATCGATTAGGTAAGTGACTATATTAAACATATAAATTAAGTGATTAACACATAGGAAGTATAGTTTGGATTTTTCTTTCTTTCAAAATACACAAAAATAGGTAACAAACACTAATTTTTTACCAAGGATACACATGTAGTCTGTAGTAGTAGGGTATTCTGTAGTAACTTAAGGAACAGCAGAAAATGTATTACAGAGTTAAAATTGAGTTTCTTAACTGAATGATTAGAAGGAAGAGACTGGATCCAAATTAGCTGTGAAAAATAAATAATGTTTTATTAAACAAGATACAAATTCAAAACAGCAGGATGTTTTCATGAAACAAAGGATGGAATATCTACTCTGTATCTAATGTCTGGAAAGAGATTGGTATGGATTCTGAAGTTTCAATAAAATCTCTATAAAGATAAGAGAATTAAATACTATTTAGAAAATACAATAGACATAGCTTGCTCAGAGCACTTGCATTATTTGTGCCACTGTTGATCATTTCGTAAGTAAAGCTAAGGAGGTTATTCCTGGCATTATAGAATTGCCAATGATTAAGATCATTGCCAAAATATACATAGTTTGTTTAACTATTTATTTCTAAAGCAGTCCATTCTAAAGAGGGTGCATGTGTCAACCAAAGGGAATGACCAAGAACAATCCATAACTAAGACAAAAACAATTTCAGAACCAACTGTACTCTAAACTTATACAAACATGAAAAAACACATGCATATGTATGAGAAGGTTTGAAATGTTCACTCATATATAATAAAAAAGGAAAAGAAACACTGTACTTAATGGGTCTGCATATCAGACTTAGGTAGAATCTAGGCTAGTTTTGCCAATTGTGTTGTTTATAGTCAACTATATAATAATACTGGAGATAAATTTGTTTTTAATTTTAGTTGAAATATTTTAATGGGCTATGATAAAGCTGATATGCATGTCATATAGCTGTAACTGTATAGTTGTTTAAGTCTTATAAAAGTTATATTTTAGTTTTAAAATTGGTATTGTTTAAATGGATTTAATAAATTTGATATTCCTGTCACAGCCTTAATCTTGCGACAAGAAGGAAAAATACAAGAATCCTTAGAATTATTTCAGACCTGTTCTATACTCAATGCTTCAGGAGAGAATTTGAAGCAAGTGGGTCGATCACTGTAAGTACGTGTATATAAATACTTGAAAAAATTGACAAATAACTGATAATTGAATACATCATCTTTTAAGGCAACTTGCAAATGTTTTGTTAGTTAAGTTTTAGACATGTGTATTAATGTGAATTTCTGAATTAAAAGAAGCCAAAAATTTAATGTTTAGTAGGTGACTTCATCAAATGTCTAAATCAAGATAAACATGTACACATATAAATTTCATAACAAAGAACTTAAGAGTTTTAATTTTATATCTTGCACCACTTGTATCTGTGCAAATATTTATTGTCAATGAAGTGATTTCTAGTTTTATTTGTCCTATAATTTTTATGCAAGTAAATAAATCAAGTATGCTTTAAAGAATATATCATGTTCTATTTTAAATTATGAGCAAATAATATTTAATACACAGTTTTGTTTTTAAGGTATCTTTTGGGACGACATAGTGCTGCTATTGATGTTTATGAAGAGGCTGTGAAACTGACCCCTAATGATTGGGTATGAACTTTATTATACTTCCCAGAATTGTCTCTCTATTTATTTATTTATTTTTGTGTATATGTTGATAGGTTTCTTTTTATTATAATATACTGTTTTATTAAAAATATTTTGAATACAGTCAAATTAGTTTAAAAAAAATTATATGCTGTTATTCAAATTATGAAAGTTTAACATCACCAGTATAAATTATACATTGTTATAATTGGTAGAACTTTTATTGCTCTCATATTTACTGAATAAATAACTGATATCATAGTTTGACGATACAAACCTATATTAATTTTTTTTGTACCTGAGTATGATGAAAACATAAATTCCAAGATTTGAAACTCCAATACCATCACCGAAACTAAAATTGATGTAAGAGGTGACACTGTACAGGTACATCATTTTGTAACCAAAGACTGGTTTTTTACATATCTTCAATTCTGCAGTGTTTTTATATTCATAAGGTAACAATTTAAATATAAAACAACTAAAATGATTGTAAAAAAGTGACTTCTTTAGAAAGGGTACACAGAGGATAGAGAAGGTTTTCAGTGGCAACACTTAAAAAGGCAAGTTTTCAAAGGGTAAAAATATTATAATTTTTTATTTTCTGAAACTGAGCTATGATGAGATTTACCGTTATTGTCAATATTTAGATGTTAAATTAATGGAACAAGGCTTATTCTATTTCTATTTATTTTTTTGAGATATTTTGTGTGTATCATTATGAAGTTAAAATATTTCCACCATTGTTAGTGATCGTAGCTAGATTTTAAAACTATTATCATATAATATTACAATATTGGTAAATACAGATTGTTAAAATAATTGGATAATGGTAGTTCTGTTCAATGACAAATTTATTTGATAGATGAGTCTTCACCTTCCATATTTGACAAATCCAAAGTCTTTAAAAACTTACTCAATCATTATTAGAATGATGTAAAACCCTATGGTCATTTGATAAACAAAATGTGTCAGAAAGCTAAAGTCCTTTGTGAAACTTTGTTTTCAATTCTTTTTCTTTTCAGGAGATTTTTCATAATCTAGGTGTTTGCTATGTGAGACTGAAAGAGTTTGACAAGGTCAGTTTCAAATTATAAATGTATTCCTTTTTGTTATATATTTTAACAAAATTATATAGACATTGGTTAAAGTAATTGTGTAGTTTAATTTTACAATTTACCTGATTGTTTGGCCTGTAAAATATACTAAATAAATCTTTTTTCTTCCATTTTACTTGCAGTGTAGGTTAAATTCATCTTTAGTGTACTAGTCACTTTATTTGGATAACTTTCCAATCTTCTTATCAGGCTAAAGAGAATTTCCAACGAGCTTTAAGTTATCACCCACAAGACCAGATCTTTGCTTCATTAGGAGAATTAATGTTATATCAAGGAGACATAAAAGGTGCCATTTCTGTCTACAAGAAAGCAATTGAGTAAGTTCTAACATGTTGTTTCTTAAAGTAAATTAAGTTATAATTTCATCAAAATTAGTACGAAGTTAACTGCATATAGTTTATCAAACCAAGAATACAACTTAAATAAGAATAATCCCAACAGAAGAGTAATTGTCTTTTTACAGATTTTGGAACATTTCTTGCTTGATTAACATTAACACTTTTCTATGTTTGGATTATGAAGGTTCAGTGATGTATAAGTAGTGTAAGAAGAACAGGCAATAAGCAATTCAACATATTTTGAGACAGAATACTTTAATGAAACTCTAACAATTATTAAATGTTTATTTCTAAACTTTCAACTAAATACTTTTAGTAAAGAAATGGTTCATTGAGTTACACTACTAGTTATGGCTCTGGTTAGACCTAATTCATAATTAACCATTATTAACACTTCAAAAAGCCATCATAATATTTAATCTGGAATTTATTCTCCAAACAAACTACGGCAGTTTTTGTTGTTGTTTTTTTCTTTCAGGAATATTTTTTAAGTGGGTATTAGTGTTTATGAATGATCTATATATAAGAAAGCAAGATACAATGGATTAAAAGTCATCATCAAAGAATTAGCCAAGTGTATTATTCCTTTTACAGCAGAAGTACTTTTCTCATTCAAAAATATAGACACAATTCTGATAGATAATCCAGTGTAGAGTTTATGAGGAAAACTTCCAGACATGTTTACACAGATTTTACACGGGTATTCCTCAAAGGTGGAACTCTGGAAGACAAACTGAGACTTGGTCAATCCATCCAGAATAAACCATTCACTATCAGTTAGCTTGTGAGGCCTGTGTGTTCTCTTTAAGATCAGTACATCTGTTCTGTTACAGTTGGTATGGTCTTATATATATCAACTGATACGAGTCAGCTTCAAACTGCTTTCTCTACACGTAACTTGCAGCATTGAACTCGAGCAATGATGACAGTACTGTGCATAAATAATATCCAAGCTCATATTTAAAGTAGTATAATATTCAGCTAAGTTTGTTTTGGACAATTAACACATTTGACATAACTGTTTCTTATTAACCTGATGCTCAGTGTAAAATTTATAGGGCTTGTACAATCTACTTTGTTCAAGAGTGCAATAATAGTGAAAGGTAGAGGAGGAACGTAGCTTGAGTGGCTTTTATCAGTTTTGCTGCCATCTGGAGGAAGGGATTCTCAAGTGTATGGCATTTAGAATAATAGTACAGTTGATGACATATGGTATAAATGCCCCTATATACATATTTTCTTGTTCATCACAATGTAGTCCTAATATGCATTTATTCCTTTCAAGCCCACACATTGCATGGCGTATGACACATCTATGTTTCTTTGCCATGAATAAGTGATGTGAACATTATAAAACACTCTGTAAGCAATGTGGCAAAATATTATTCATTCCATAATTACAAAAGTATCTCAGTTTCACTGAATCATGTAATTTCTTTTGTTTAACCATGCAGTTGGCTATATTGAGTAAGTTGTGATTTCGTTGGCTGATACATATTGAGTATATATATAGGAGTAGTGCAGATTTGTTTACCAGTAACCTTTTACATGTACATTTGCATCTCAGAATAAATTATTTAAACACTGACATATGAGAAGAGATGTATCTTGACACTTTAGCTTAAATAGTGGTTTTTATGACAAAGTAACCAGCATTATCTTTTAATAATTACCACATCTCTTAATGATAAACAACAAAGTGAAATTGTTTAAAAAATACTCACTGAAATGGGTGCAAAGTAGGAAAAAATAACAAACTGAGAAAAATTGCCAAAGTGGGCCTACATATGATTTGATACATATGGAAGAAATAAGGATGTTGCAGTAGGCAAGTTCATTTATGTATACATATTTTATGGTAGTTCCATTATTTGTAGGTAAAATTCCTACCTATAGTATAAATCCTTATTCTTTATTCAGTTTTTAGCTTACATTATAACTGTGAGAGTTTGTAATTAATAACTCAGCTGTTTTAAACTGGCCAATTATTTTTTACATAGTCAATTGAATCTTTTTTTTATATCTCTATTTAGCATATATTTTAGGGATTATTTGAGTTTTTATTTGAAGGAAAGTAAGTTTTTTTGAAGGGCCATTAAATGCTTCTCAGTCCATAGAATAAAATATGTATGTTTTAAAGAAGTTTATAATTCTCATCTATTTGTATAATTATCATTTGTGAAACAATAAATCACTTACAGTACAATGTTGAAACTGTTATTGGAAGAAAAATGTCTTGTGAAAAAAAAAAGTGCACAGTTTATAGATAAGAGATACCAGTCTTTGTTGCTTATAAACTGACTTAATTATGAAACTGAAATAAACAGACAAAAACAGTAGTACTAAACTGGAACAGGCTGAACAGAAATCTAACTTGGTAAAAACTTACATAAAGTGTTGTCTAAAAATGAATCATAAATAATGTGTAGATTTATTGGAAACTAGCTGAGTTACCCTGCGTTGCACGGTGAAAATTTAGATTTCAAATATATATATAGATCAGTATTTTTTCAGCAAATTATTCAGTAAGTAGATGAAAGCTATGATCTGAGAAATAAAAAAGCATTTAATCAAACAAAGCTTTATATGAAATTAGATCGTGTTTGAGCTTGTCTTGTTCTTTGAGCCTGAAGTCATACATCATGTTGCTCCTCTGTTTCTTGCTCTCTGTAAGTTATTTGTCTTAATTTTTCTGATTGAAGTCTGGTTTGACATTGTTCAGAAGTTTCTTGTTGTCTATATCCAGCTTGCCTTGATGATTGTGGCTGAACTCTGGCTTTGTGCTGTTCAACAGTTTCTTGCTGTCTTTGAGTAGCCTGCCTTTCAACTTGAGCTCAAAGTGTAACTTTTGTTGTTCCAAAGTCTCTTCCTGTATATGAACAGCCTGTCTTGCAGTTTGTGTTTGAAGTCTTTGATTGCATTCTTCTTCTGTTTTTTTTCAGTTGCTCTTTGTGCTTGCATTCTTTTAGCGGCAAAAGACTTTCCATAGAAAGGGCGTTTCATGGGTGGCATAGTCAACCGTATCACTAAACAATAATTTGCAATTCACAAAGTTACTAAATCACTTATGAAACCACTTAGCACTATTTAAAGAAAACTGTTTTTGGAAATACTGAATTGACAGTAAGGTGATCTGAGTGTCTCCTGCCATAACGCTTTCAATGTGCAAAACGTGCTTATGTTTGTATGTTTATTACAAAAAAAAGGTGCAATAATCATTAGTTGTCAATTTCGTCATTAAATACTACACCAAATACAAAATAAATAGCACCATTAAATTTCTTGTAAAAAAACTGGTTATTATGAAGTTATTTTAAAATTTGTAAGTTCAACCGTTTGGTTTCCTATAGCGAACAAAATAAACAAATAAACAAACTTTCTCTTTTATATATATATATAGATAGATAGATTCTTCAAGATCTTGTTTTTGTAATCTTATGCCATTATGAAGATGGGAACATTGACAGGGAAATAATATAATAGCCAATGCTCGGCGAGAGGTTTTCATTTATAAAATTTAGTTGTTCTCGACTTGATTTTTATTTTATTACCTCGTCTCCATAGTTACTATTTGCAAATAGTCAATAATATTGTAGGTCCATTTTATTGTTGTTCTTTCTACGCGCCATTATAACACATTTTTATCTCATCATTTAATTTCTGTTGTGCATATATTGTTGTATGTTTATTACAAAACAAATAGCGTAATAATCATTGATTGTCAATTTCATCATTAAATACTACATCAAATACAAAATAAATAACACCATTAAATTTCTTGTAAAACACTGGTTATTATGAAGTTATTTTAAAATTTATAAGTTCAACCGTTTGGTTTCCTATAGCGAACAAAATAAACAAACTTCCTAGTAGTAGCCTTTATTAGTAAAGAAAGTTAAAGCATTTTATAATGGATCAATTGCACAATATTACAAAGAGGAAAATTTATAATTCCCTTTTTTTGAAAGTATTTCCCTAGACCAGCAAGTGAAAGAAGCACATAATGAATTAATAGGCAGTCCAAAGTAATCTAATCAAAAACATCTAAGATATGAATAAAAAAAGGTGCAGCCAAAAAAGGATTAAGCATGTGACTTAAAGGAATGAAATCAAAATTGGCAGCCAAATTGATAACTACACGTAGCATTGATAAGAATCTTACAGCAAATATTCATTTAATTAGTTAGCTAGGCCACATTTTGTGTTCAACTTGGGGCACGATGGTGGGTAAAACAAAATATGTGGCCTAGCTAACTAATGAATAAATATTTGCTGTAAAATTCTTATCACTTCTATAGCTACTAGTTTGGCCACCAATTTTGATTTCATTCCTTTAACTTCATGCTCAATCCTTTTTTTTCCCACCTAAGGTGTTTTTGATTATATATCATGACTTTTTGTCAATACACACCAACAAACCAAAGCAAGTAAAAAAGTGACACTTGGTAATAACAACATTAGCTTTAGTATCGCAACCACATTATTCTGAACA